TTTACTCTTCCCTGTCCCAAGGGCAGGTTATCCCAGCAGCTCTCTCGCTGAAGAGAGAATTGCCTAAAATTTGCCACTGCTGACCCAACGCTCCTGATCTGGCACAATAGCTGCACTCAGCTGTGAACTCTCCTGAGCATGAGGAAGGACCCTTAACCATCTCCTTCCTATCTGGACAGAAACACTACACCTTGTTGTGTGCTTCCTTCTGCCTGCTTTCCATACCTGGGATGAATAGACTGGCATGTGAGTAAAGAACAGTTTTCCATGGCACATGTATGGCATCATGTCATCACTACATTACGTAAAGAGCATCAGCTCTCCCTCATCGCAGCAATAACTGTTTAGAGCTTGCAGTCTCATGGACTGACCTGTGTTCCACGGTTTCGTTTTGAAGGCATCTCACTTTTTTCTCAGCATCATAGATTTAACGTGTATGCTGAAGAAGCCAACAATATTTTTCCTCCCATTCACTGTCACAATTATTTTGAGCAAATCTAGAATGAACTCTGCAATTGCAACCAAGGCTCCACATCTCTGAGGACAGAAATCACATAAAGACCTTAACGTGACAAGGTAAGCAGCGTGTGTATATTATGTAAATGACTGGGGCAGAGAGTACATACTTGAATTCACTGAACACGTACCCCGAATAGCACTACCTGGCTTCTCCTCTTTGTTACTGAATGCTCTCTAAATCTGCTCCCTCCCTCCATGCCTGCAGCACTGGAGAGTCTCATGACTTTCCTTTTTTTTTTTCTTCCTTTTTTCTGTGGTTCTACCTCTCCTCTCTGCCTTTGTTGGCCATTGTCTCAGTGGCCAGCTTCTTATCTTTGGATCATACCCAGAGGTAGCCTGGTTGCCATGGGAGATGAATGACCTGCAGCCCTCTTTCATCAATGTCCTTCCCCCATTAGCAAGACTTTTTTTTTCCCCCAGAAACTAGGTCATTACAAGTCAGCAGCAAGGCTTGCTCTGATGTCTATCACAGCTACACATTCAAGCGCTTTATTTCCCCAAAAGCAAATACAGTAAACAGAGGGACTTGAGTTCTACTTTAGATACCATGTAATGGAAAAAAGACATCTCTTCCTACACGTACACGTTCCATTTACAGACTAAGGCTGCAGCGGCTGCAATTTAATCTTTTCTGGTTGAGCAGTTCTGCTATTTGAAGTTTATAAAGACCTGATTCTCATGAGTCTGAACTGCATCCAAAGCAGGTTCCAGTAAATAGACTCCTTTCTTGTTAGTCTTGATCCATAATTAGGTGGTAGAGCCAGTAATCCAGGAATTCAAATCCAACCTCACCTGTACAATCCACAATTTACTTGACAGTGACTACAATTGTATGTTCCAATATAAACTCACTTCTTATCCATAGGATAAGCTAGTTCATCTCTGAGTTGAAAGGAAGCAGGTTGGCAGCAAAGGAACTCAGCTGCTCAAGGAGTTATAAAAAAGACAGACCAATGACACGGGCAGTTCCATGTCCCAGTTCAGAGTTGCTGACCACCCTGAGAAGATATTTCCAAATCTGAGATTCCCACATGGAACAGGGCACTGCATTTAAACACCTTAATCTACTTTGTTTCATTCACAAACTTTTTACAGCTAATCTATTTACCTTTTTAGGACATCACCACGAATGACTTTGTGAGTACTTATTTATTCTTTATACTTTTTTGTTTTCTGTTTGTTTCAGGTACATTTTTTGCCACTGGGAAAGATAACATCAAAAAAGCCCTAAAGGCGTTTTTGCAATGCAATGTGACAAAGTCCTAGTCCTCTTACCTGCTCCTCCTGCCAGTTTCTGTAGCACGGGGGGCCATGTTGAAAAAGCAGGGAGAAGATCCGGGTAGACCCACAGAGTGTACACTGTCCCGAAACAGAACAGAAATTTAAAGATGCATCATTAAAAGCTTCTCTAGCTGTTGCTTCTTCCCATCTTTAAGAATAAGCAGTACAATACTAACCACAAGTAAACACTCTCCTGTTACTTGGGTAATCAAGAAATCACAAGTTAGAAAAATCCTACAATAATTAGTAGATGTGATGGAGAAAAATAAACTGCTAGTTAATCCAAGCTCCTGTGAATTATTATAAAGGATATAGAGAAATGTTTGCATTATTTTCCTTAAATCAAGGACACTTTGAGATAAAATGCTACTCCAACAGGGAAGAACTGCTGGGTATGGAAAAAATAAAAGAATAGAAATCAGAGCAATTCATTGCCTAATTCCAGGGTTGTCTGGAAGTGGACATCGTGCTTCTTGGAATTACACCTTGCAGTGGACAAAAGACAGAAAAAGGGCTAAGATGCTAAACCATGACTTAAAAGACTTGTTTCCTGGTTTCTGACGTCTGAGCACATCAGTTTCCTTTTTGCAGAAAGAATCCAGAAATGCCACTGACTTCGCAAAGATATTGGTAGAATAAATTGCATTAAAGATTATGAAATGTACCAATACTATAGAGAATAGGATAAGTACTTAAGACAGACACAAGGAAATCTTTTGGGGAAAGGCTGGTGCACAGTAAGTAAAGAGGGAGGATTATTCTCATCCACTGCCCATACCTGTTGGATACAGAGCTTTCTCAATTTCAAACAGTATTGGGTTCCTGTTATTCATGTAAACAGTGACGGCCTCCCCTTTGTGAGAGTATATTTTGATGACATTAAGCTCTTCCTTGTTTGGAATAAACTCAGTCAATTGTTCAGCACTAAGGTTAGGAAAAGCTGCTGCAACATCAGTTCGTAGCTTCCTCCTGTAGTGATAAAATCATAAATGTGTTACAAAGCTGTCTAGACCACCCCTCAAAACAATTCCTAGATCAATAGTTACAATTTTGTTGGCTGTTCACGAGATTACCACTTTTTCACAGAAGATAATTTGAAGCGTTTGTGTCCGAGTTTACAAATGAGAAAGCTGCATGCTGGAAGAATACTGGGGAAAGGCCAAATATGCTTGCCCTGCTCATATTCTTCCTTAAACATCTGCTTACACCTGCTGTCTCTGTCTTTGCCCCGGTTTTGCAGTGATTTCATTACAAATCTGGGAGTCAGCTTGGCTCAGCCCAGCCTCTCCAGGCAGGGGCAGGGGTGCAGCCAGATCTCCCACTCCCTCCGGGTTTAATTGATGTTTAAGACAGGGTGACCAGCACAAGGCGGGTTTGTGGAGTCCTTCGCAGAGGCGTCAAGTGGATCTAAAAGACGGGCAAGTCAGCCGAGCATCACTGCACAAGAACATAACGAAGTCTGAGCTAGGCCTCGGCGTAACAATTAAGTCTAGTTTAAACTGAAAAGTGCATTTTGTATGGGAAATGTTCGTGTTTAGCACAAAGGGAAGGTGATAGCGGCCACAGCTCCCTGCCAGCCCCCGGCCCGTGGCTCCGCAGGGGCCGA